AAATAAAATAAAATAAAATAAAATAAAATAAAATAAAATAAAATAAAGTAAAATAAAATAAAATAAAGTAAAATAAACAAAATAAAAAAGTGATAGTAACAACTCCAGTGGTTGTCTGATAAAGCAAAGACCAGTTCAAAGTCACAGCATCAGATTCTCAATCTGACTTGAAATGGCATGGTTGGCCCTCTCCTCCCCAGATGTGTCATGCGGGATCCCAAAAATGTAACCAGAGCAGAATCTAGAATCGCCAAAGGAAATCATCTGTCAAGGCCATCTGTTCATGAGCCTCACAATGGATTGGCCAAGCGGTATCACGGGCCCCCACAAGACAAAACAGCAAAGGCCAAAAGAAATATTATCAAAGAGGAAAATGGCAGCCAGCAGAGACTTCAGACTATGGGTGGAGGACCTAGGGTAGGGGCTCGGAGCGCAGTAGGCTGGCAAGAACTGGAGTTAGAAAACAATTGCCAGATTCATGAGAATCCCTCCCGGGCTACACAGAGCGGCTTATCCCAGCACTGTCAAACAGGTGTAAAAACAATAAAGACATGTCCTGAGGCTGTACAAGCCCATGGGAGAAGTGCAACTCAGCCAACGTCCACCATTCCTGTGGAGAGGACAGCAGTAGAGAAGCATGGACCCATAGACACCACAAAGGAAGACTTGGTCCCCAAAACCCACTGTTTGGTGCATGTGACTGCAGTGTCTATCCTGAAGTCAGATACAGATGTTAGAGCAGGTTGGGGTGGGCTGCAGGGACCAGGAGGCAGTGGGTGGGCTCTTGGCCACTTGCTTGTGATAGGCGGGTCTGGCTGTCTCAGGAATCTACAGCTCAGTTCCTAAAATAGATCCTTGTCATGTTTCATTCTGATGACAGGTGATTTGATAAATGACGCTAACTTTACTCAGGTCTTTACTCAGGTGCAGGATGCCCCTGGTGGTCTTCTTTTAGACAGAGTCCCTTTGGGGAGAAGAGTCAATGCTCTGGGTGTGTGCTACAGGCAAAAATGGACAGCCAAAGAATAGAAATCTCGTCCATCAATCTCCTAAAAGACTTAGAAAAGGGTAGTGGCTGGAGCCATACAGCAGATGGCACCTTTTCTGAGGATGTTCTAGTTTACAAAGGCCCTGGAGTCTCGGAGCCTGGAAGGGAAACCTAGAGAGAGTCATGTCTACTCTCTAAACACAGGTCATATTTCTGAAAAATCTCCCTTCTTTCCTTTCTTAGTTTTCCTGTGGTTTGTAAGTTAGTTGGTTTTAGGGGTTTGATGTATTTACTTTGAGACAAAGTTTTAGACTGCCTCCAAGAGTCCTGGCATCTAACTCTCTGTGTAGGGAAGGATGACATTGAACTTCTGATCCTCCTGTCTCTACCTCCCAAGTACTAGGATTATGGGCATGTGCTACCATTGCCAGTTTATACCAATCAAAATCAGGGCTTTGTGCATGCTGGGCAGGTACTCTACAAACTGAACTGCATTTCTAGCCTTAGAATGCTGTCTTGGGTAGAAAGCTGGCCCTCTGCTTGTCCACTTCCATTAACAGAAGAAAGCCAAGTGCATAAAACAGAGCTTTGAAGGACTGCATGTGAGTTGCCTCTGATCTCACTGGAGGTTCTGAGAAGAGAGACAAAGTCCCTTCATCTCAATGCTTTCTTGGGGGTTTTAAATATGCAAGGCCAGCGGGATTTGGCACAGATTCCTTTGCCCTGGACTACTGAAGGGACAAAGAAATGAGGAGGACTGGGTTGGGAGGTGGAGTGGGGAGACCAAGAGACAACAGGGGCCCTTGGACCTCATTACGAATTAGGTCACTTTAATATCCGTAATTAATTTTAACTCATCAGATTGAAAGAAGAGGTTGAAAGGGACTTGGAAGGAAGGAATTGGATGGCCTTGCAAAAGCCCAAATCATAGACAACATGTTTTCTTAATTAAAAAAATAAACTGGTCTGTATATTGGGTGGGCAGGGTGAGTGTTGAATCAATCAAGTGAAATTATAATTTTAAAAAGCAATCAGCATTGCAAGCGAAGCCTCTGCAGTCTGAGGTCCGAGGAGCCAAACTGGCCACAGTTCTCAAATGCAGTCTACCACTGGCTGACATCATCAGCAGGCCCCGGAGGGGAATGCAGACTAGTAATTCAATTCAACAGACTGCCTCCCAGGGGAACAAACCAAAGCAGGCAGTCCTTTCTAGCTTTTATTTTTTTAAGGCCTCCATCCTGACTGTTTCTGGTGGTAAATACAGGAACACCCATGCTGTGTGGTGCTTCCAAGAAAACACCATGACAAGGAGAAGCAAAATGTCACATCACACTGGGTAGTGACTACTCGAGTGTCACATCCAAGTTACTGACGTCAGAGAAGGCTTAGTAAGCCACAGCCCGAAATTTAGGAGACACTTCTTCCCAAAGAAAAGTGGGGTGCTTTGAGAAGCTGCACTCATTCTTCCCAGGCCCCTAAAATGACAGTTGTAATGAGCCGACTCAAAAAATAAGCACAGCCTCTAGAAATTATTTGACTTACTTGGGATCCCAGCAACATGCTGTAAGCACTTACTTCCTCGAAGTGGGTGTAAGTAAGTAATCTTTGAAGGTGTGCCATGTGGCTACATTTCATCAAATCGTGACGATCTGTGAGGTAGTCCACACCCTCACAATACAGAGTGAGGAACTCAAGCTTAGACCCATCACGTAGGTTTCTCCAAAGCCACAAGGTTGCAAGAAAGAGAAAATTCTGACAGAGAATCTCACAGCAGATAGTCAATGTCGTACTTGTTTTCTGGGCTGTTGAGTAACACCAGGAATCCAGGACTCAGGAACACTTGCACCACGAGGATTGTTACCACTGGAACTCAGTGCCGATTAATAGCTACAGACCTGCTTCCAGGAGCCTCTACTCCCTATTCCTCCCTGTTCTAGAGAAGACTTTTGAAAGTTGGAATTAACCCTGAGACACTGGGGGCTGTTCCTTCTCTCTTGCCCTTCAGACCTGCTTGGCCAGATGGATCTGAATATCCACTATTATAGGCTTGGCCACTCAGAGTACTTCCTATGGTAAGCAGGATGATCAGAGCTGGACACATGGTGTGAGCCAGTCCAATGAGCATCAAGGCCTGAAGCCAGCAAAGGAGAGAAGCCTATATTTGAAAATAAGGTTGCCAAGGTCTATCTGAGACCCTGGGTAACCTTAATGTACATTAACTGTCTTTGTGAGGATTCTGCCAACGAGAAACACGGGAAACAGAACTATCTAGAAGCATCTGTACCCAAGAGTCCAACCAAGCTGAAGCAAGAAACCCTCAACTTCCCAGGTAAATGAGCCAATAAAACCCATATTAGATGCTCTGGCTATCAAGAGTCCTGGTTTAATAAATACAAGTCCATAGTACACAGCTGTACACCACTTCGTGCAAGTTGAGCCCCCACAAATCTGAAATGCCAAAACTTAAACCTCAATTGATGGTTGCCAGTCAAACTGAAGTGCACTAAAAATACTGTATAAAATTAACATACAGCTACAGGTATGTAAGATGAATAGGGAAATTAATTTTGTCATTAGACATAGGTCTTACCCTAAGAAATCTCATTATGTATATTTGTAAGTATCCCCAAATCTGAAGAAAAGAAACGTCTGAAACCTTTCTGGCCATACGCAGAGGATCTGGGTTTGGTACCTAGCATCTACCTGGTGGCTTACAGACATCTGTAACTACTCCAAAGACCTGGCACATCTGACCTCCATGGGCACCTGGCATGCATGTGGCACACACATATACACAGGGGCAACACATTCATGAATAAAATAAAATAAATCTAAAAACTAAAATAATTGGGGTGTCTCCATGATTTTGTGAGAAGAAATAAAAAAAAAAAAGAATTGTAGAAATCTCATCAAACAGAAGGATGCTTGTCTGAACCAAGAGGTGGGATGTGAGGCTTACAGTTCCAGCCTTTGGGTAACAGTACTCTATACTGAGTATAGGAGGGATCCTAGGATCCCATACAGATATCTGTGACTGGAACATCAGCACCATTCTTAGGACCCCCCTCCCCCCACTAGCCACTGTAGCTGATGAGCAGAAGCAGTCCAGCGTCTGGAGTCATAGGTACCTTTGTCCTAATGGAAACCAAGGCTCCATCCACACTCACCTGAAGCACCGGAGCCCCGGGACACGTCCTGCGACTGGGTGGACCGGTTGCGACTCTGCTGCCGACGCCGACTGGAGGCTGACCTGGTGGTGCGCACGTGGACCTCGCTCACCTTGAAGAAGGCCACCATGAAGGGCTGCTTGTCGTAAGGGCCGTCTCTGCCCACCAGGCCCGCCGCACGGGGGTTGACGTGGAGTCCTTTAATGCAAACCAAAGCCCACCCCTCTTTACTCCACGGAACCTCAGGCTCAAAGCTACACAACGAGGCGATTCTTTCTAGTCTTTCATTAAAAGAGTAAAGAGTGGGGAAAGGTGAACAAGGTCCCATGCATCCTCCCACCCTGGCTGGCCCTCTGTAGATTGGGAGACACATTTTGAGTCTGCCTAAGTACAGGATCACCCCAAGGAGCGCTCTGGTTTCTGGTCCTGCTATGTATAAGTATTTATACTTCCTTTCTGGCTGTATTTCTCAACTGTGCAGCAGGACCGGAAATGGGAGCCCATCACAAGGGGTTTCCTTAAGGGTCTCTTGGCAAAAATCACTGGACAGTCAGATCCTAACGACTTCCTTTTCCTCCTCTTCCTTTGGTGCTGGGTAGAACCTGGAGCCTCATGCAAAGCAAATGCCCCACTGATCTGTGTGCACCAAGCCTCCGATGAGGATCTCCCACCAGGCTCAGCTGTGGAGGCTCTCTTTCCATTGTTATACTTGTGGGGGACTTGGCCTGAGTCTGCTTCCTAGTCCTGGCTAGGAGAAAGGTTTTGCTTTTCCATATGGTCACCCTGGCATCATGGACTGGGCTACAAACAATGGTCCCACCGCAACTGCCACAGAGGAAATGAAGGAAACCGACTGTGTGACTGTGTGACAGAGGCTGGCAGGGCGCAAAACCCGACTCACCGTCCCGAGTCACCACACTCAGCTGGAGTCCCATGTTGTGCTGCGGTGTCACCACCCACAGATTGCTAGTTGCTGTGATGTCAAATTCCAGCCAGCCTTCCTCGGAGGCCCACACCACCCGGGTGTCCAACAAAAATAGGTCAGAGTCTCTGCAAGAAAGAAAGAAAAATGGCGCAGTGAATCACCTGCTGTTCTGTAGTTCATTCCTCCTGTGTCTTGTCAGGAACAAACACGAGGTCAGATTGTGCCCATCTGTGTGACCAGCCACTGCTCTGCCTGGATGGCATGGTAGAACATACAAACACAGCATAATTAGCAAAGACACAGACTGTGAGCTATCAGGAGGCTCCGTAAATTCACCAAGACCGCCTGTGTCCCACACCAAATATTTATTGGAATTATGGTAAATTCCAAACGTTATTTCGTTTGTCTCGATACCTAGTTCAGTTTTATGACTGCACTGTTTTATTCATGGTGCCTTTTATTGGTTAATAGCTTAATTATGGCTAATGAGCCCTGAAACATAGAAGGGATGTGTAAGACTAGATTAAATCAGGATCCAAATGAGATACAAAAAAAATTAGGTGTCTCTTGCATCAAATCTCTGTAAATACCATCAGGCTATACATATAAGATACATATGAATCAAAAATGAATTTTCCATCTAGACTTAGCAACAATTTTCCAAGATATTTCATTCTACACACACACACACACACACACACACACACACACACACACACATATATATATATATGCAAAGTACCCCCCACCACTGGAAACACTTCTGGGTTTCATGAAATTTACACAACCTCCACTGGTTTTAAAGAAGCGTCCAATTCTAACAGTGTACATTTACAGAGTACTCTCTTCTCTCCTCCCTTGCTTTACTTATTGTTATGATAATCATCGCTGCTGGGGTATAGTTATCTCCATGCTCAGCCGGGAAACTGAGTCTTAGACATGAGATCATGTAGCCAAGAAGAAAGCTAACCAAGTCCGAAAATTTAGTCAGTGAACAAAGGGAGGAGCTCGACTTCAATTCAAAAAGTTTTCCGTAATGACAGACTGTCTTTTGAGATTATTTCCCAAGACAACTTGTGCTAAGTGAAAAAAGTTCACTCCTCGTTCAGCGGCATCTTTTAAGGCCAGTGGAGCATCTGAGCTTAGAGTCTGAGATTTCTTTGGTGGGAAATCCACTGATTCCTGCTTCCAAGGCTTGGAGTTAGAAGAGAGCTCTATTGTCATCGTTTTTTCAAGTGTAAACAGTAGGTAGAGTGACAGGGAGTTTACTCAGCTGCTTGGCAGTCTGCAGGGGCAGACTCAAGCTTGTTCTCCTTAAAAGTCTCCCCTGCGTGGATGTGTCACATTCCCTGTGGACAGACTACCCCCCCTGTGACTGGGGCAACAACTTCGAGCCCAGAATTGAGGGATGTTCATGGAAAACAGCAAGAGGGGACTGGGAGTCCAAGGCTTTGAAGTTGAGATGCAGAAGGACATAAAGTCCACACTGCAAGGTCACAGAAGACCCTCATCCAGAAATAACACAGACGGCACAAACAGCTCTGTGGGAAAAACAGCCCCAGGACCGACACAAGCTGAGGAAGTAGTCATCTTAGGGGAAGACTTTGGCTGGCATTACCCAGAACAAAGACCCAGAGGGAAGTTAAAGGTAGGAAACAGAACATAGATTCCCAAATACAGAGTCCCTGAGGAGGGTCAGTCGTTATGTGCAGAGCTTCAGTTATGCAGCAGGCAACTTACTATCTAAGGAAGTGCAATAGGATGCAGACAGAGGCAGGGTGGGCGTGGCAAGGCTGGCACACAGGGTTGGAATGGGCTTCTGCTTCTGTTTGTAAAGAGGGGGGGTCACAAGAAAGGGTGGGGAGCTGAGCAGGCTGGTGCACACCTGTAATCCCAGCACTAAACATCATTGTCTACAGTGGAGACAGGAGAAAGAACTAGGAGAAAGAGAAGGCGATGAATGAAAGGGGAAGGCAAAAATATGGATCTGGAAGCAAGTAAAATCGGGGGTATCAGTGGAAAAAAGCTGGGGAGAAAGATGAATTATGACAATGTGGAAGAAATTATGTTTACACCATTGTACAGGCTAGTTTTATGTCAATTTGACACAAACTAGAGTCTCATCAGTGAAGGAGGGGAGCTCAGCTGGGAAAATGTCTCCATAAAATCCCACTGTAGGCAAGCCTGAAGGACATTGTCTTAATTGGTGGTTCATGAAGGAGAGTCCAGCCCATTATAGGTGGGGCCTCCCCTGGGCTGGTAGCCCTGAATTCTTTAAGAAAGCAGGCTGAGCTAGCCATGGGGAGCAAGCCAGAAAGCAGCACTCTTCCATGGCCTTTGCCTTAGCTCCTGCCTCCAGGTTCCTGACCTGTGGAGTTCCTTTCCTGACTTCCTTCAGTGAAGCCCAATGATATGGAAGTGCAGCCCAATAAACCCTTCCCTCCTCCAGTTGCTTTGGTCACAGTGATTCGTCATCACAGCAATAAAAACCCTAAGACAATGGTTCATGATCATCAGTGGACATGAGGGGGGGGCTGACATTCTGTTGATAACTACTGCAGTTATCTTGGACATCCAGAATGCACGGTTGTTTCTGTTGTACCTGCTGCTCACGGGTAATAAAGTTCATGGTTGTTCTCAAGGATTATGAGACTGGCTAAGCAAGTGCAGACCAACAGCTACTGGTTCAAGATCAGAAAGGGAACCTTGGCTTTAAGCTGCCCAGGTCCTCTGCAAGGGATAGCAGTAATTCCCTTTCTCATGGGACAAAAATGCTTGACAGACACAACTTAAAGAAGAAAGGATCACTTTTGCTTCATGGGTTCAGAGGTGCATCCACAATTGCTTGGACTCACGGGCTTAGGTAGAACAGCCTGGTTGTAGGCACATGTAGCCATAGGGGAGAGCTAGTGACTCTGAGGGAGTCTCTTTGAGACAGAGGGTGAAGGAAGGAGGAACGAGGGCACAGGGTGAAAGAAATATGGGAGAGGAAGGGAGGGAGGAAAAAGTTGGGACAAGGGCAATATACCCCAGCTAGTCTCTAGCAGGCCTTAGACCTCCCAAAATGAAAGCCAGTTAGAGGCCAAGAGTGTAACACACAAGACTGTGTTGCTCATATTCAAACAATAACAAGAGATAACTTAACATAAAGACTTATATAACAGGGTTAAATGAGATAAAGAGATATACATATACACACAGTTCCACAGGACACTATACCAGAGGCCTCTCCCTCTCCCTCTCTCCCTCTCTCCCTCTCCCTCTTTCTTTCTCTCTCTCTCTCCCTCCCTCCCTCCCTCTCTCCATTGCTCCCCCCCTCGTGTGTGTGTGTGTGTGTGTGTGTGTGTGTGTGTGTGTGTGTGTCTTGCTTCACTACATAGCCCTGGCTGGCCAAGATCTTACTATGTAGACCAGACTGGTCTCCAACTATCTGTCATCCTGGTGTAAAAAAGCATCAAATAAGACATACTGTCTGTCTCAAAGTAGATAGTAAGAACTGACGCCCGAGTTAACTTCTGACTTCCCCACAGATGCCCACACTCCACCTTCTGTATCCCCACAGGAGAGACTATGGCAAATGGAAGAGTTCAGGTAAATTGGAAATGAAAATCATTGATTTGAAGGGTTGGTTTGTAGGATTTGGCTAAAGCTCATTGCTAGAGATGGCCATATATGCAAGTGCCCTTTGTCAAGAAGCTCATCTGGAATGTTCCATTATGAAGAATTCCTTGCAGTGGTTCTTGGCTTGTGCACCAGAGGCTCATTCTTCATGGCCACCATTCCCATCTATAAAAAGAAAAGTCTAAAAATGTTCACAGTATAGGCTGAAAATACTGAGCAAGAGCTCAAATAAGTAAGAGATCAAGACCCAGTGTGTTTAAAGATCAGAGTTGGCTACAGATAGAAAACAGGGCAGCAACGGGGTTAGAAGGCATGAGCTGACCTCACACACCAGGTCAGGGTGCCTGAGAGGTGCACACAGGAAGGCACCTAGTATGGCTCATTGTGGTGGAACCCCAAGTCTTTCCTGACTTTACCCTATTCCTCCCATTTGAGAGAATGTTGTGTGCTCAGTGTGATGGTGTCACAAACACCTATAAGGTCTGAAGGTGTCCCCCAAAGTCCCAGGTTGGGAACTTATTCCCCAATGCAGCAGTCCTGAGATGGGTCTTCGGGACTCTCAGGGTCTTCATTACAAGGACTCTCCCCTCATAAATGGATGGAATCCTTGTCACCAGAGAAGGTTCCTGATCATAGAAGGAGCCATAAGGTTCCTCTCCTCTCCTCTCCTCTCCTCTCCTCTCCTCTCCTCTCCTCTCCTCTCCTCTTTCCTCTTCTCTTCATGTATGCACTCTCTTTCCTTTCTTATTTTCCACCCCAAGATGTCATAGGAGAGGGTCCTCACCAGCTATGGCTCCTTGATTTTGGACTGCCCACCCTCCAGAACTGTGTACTAAGAAATCTCTGTTCTCTGTAAAATTCCAGGCTCAGGTATTTTGTTATAGCAAAACAAAATGAACCAAGAAAACATATTTACACAATTAGTGCAATGAATTTTACAAAGGAATTGAGCTCTAGGAATTAAGCACAACCTCAAAGCACCTAGGAACTCACACATGTGGTTCTGCTCTGACCCACATTTATTCATTTCTTCGGTGACTCAATCTTTCTTTGTCTACCGTCCGCTCTGTAAAGCGTACCCTCCCTTGAGTAGGCCTAGGCCTCTCGCTCAGTGTTGGAGTACTTGCCCAACATGTACAAGGGTTCTAACTCAAGTACCAGAAAAATAAGGCTCCCCTAAACCAAACAGGATATGTCTGATCTTCTTAATACTACTCTGGCAGAGTTGAGATGAGATGGCCTCTGCTAAGATATGTCAGACCTCTATATGAAGACTCCCCATCCAACCAGTCACCCCACCTGGGTTATTTGGACTTTTTGATATGGCATACTCAACTTACATATCCACAACAACAACAAAAATTCTCAAAACCAAAGAGAGATGCAAATTGTAAAGTACCCGTTGATTAGTTTGCTCTTAGCACACAGCTCCCATTTTGTGTGATGATCAAGGTTTCCTTGACCAAAGACAGAGCACATTCCATGTGTTTCCAGGCCTGGTTGT